AATTGTTATTGAAAAGAATTGTCCGCGACTTTTTAAAATCGTGTTTGCTGTCTCATTATCATAAACAGTTTCTATTTTTAGAAAAATCGTGCCGCTAATAGGCGGTTGTGTTAGGTCATATAGTACCAAGGCCTTTTTTTATAAGTATAGCTCAAAACTGATTAAAATCACTTAGATTTTTGTCTGAGGTATGTGTCTGACGGGGAAGGTGGGGGAAGGTGGGGTGGAATGTAAAAAAACAACCAACAAGGATGATGAGATGTAAAGAAAGAGGAAGAATTTTGCACTTATTAATCTAGGTTTGAGGATTTGTATTCTTCAGTTGAACGACTTTAAGCTTCCGCCTATGTTTATCTTAACAGCGTATAAAGTAATGAGTTGTTTCTTCTATCTGTTTGTACCTACTGTGCGATTCTAAACTAATAAATTTAAATATTTTCTATCAAACATTGTTTATTTGTTATTTTTAAAAGTTATAAACAAATGAATTTAAATACTCTTTCGAACCTAACCTTCCAGGCGAAAGATGAAGTGGATTTCATCTGTTTCAGTGACCTTGGTATATGAAAGGATAGTGAAGGGATAGTGTCGTCAGCACTTTAGCCAGCCATTACTTTCTGTAACGTGAGTTGGGTACCCCTGAGACCAAGACGCCCCACGGACTTGAACCCGAGAACCCGATATCCAAACTCGAGTCTTAAGCCTTACATATATACATTTATGTATATATATATATATATATATATATATATATATATATATATATATATATATATATATATATATACATATATATATATATATATATTTATGTATATATATATATATATTTATGTATATATATATATATTTATGTATATATATATATATATATATATATATATATATATATATATATATATATATATATATATATATATATATATATATATATATATATATATATATATATATATATATATATATATATATATAGAGAGAGAGAGAGAGAGAGAGAGAGAGGCCTATATATACATTTTTGTAAAAATATCGAAAAGTGTATAGGGCTACTGTCCTTGGAGTTTGGGACATGTAAATTATTGTTGTAGAACGGGATGAAGATTGGGAAAATGCATGTCACTTGTAGACATTTTCATGGCGAGTTGTCAGCTGAAGGTGTTTTATGTGCGATTCGCATCTGAGTTAAACGATCGTTGAGTGACAGATCCTTACCTTCTGCACTGGGAGATTTAAATCAAACATACAGGTATGCAATTTTCCAGACGGATATAAATAGATTTTATTGATACAGCCGAGATTGTATATGTTTGTGTGTGGGGGAGGAGGGATTGTAAGGCTATGTGAATTTGTGTATGGGGGGGGGGTGTTGTAAGTCTTTGCCTGTATGTGCGCGGACTATGTGAGTGTGTGTGTGTGTGTGTGTGGTGAGGGCTGTATGCTTATTAGTGTGTGGGGAGAGAGTTAAAGGCCTATGTTTTGTGTGTATGTGTGGTGGGAAGTTGACTGCTACAATGACGTAGGTTGGGAGTAGTGTTGGGTTAGGTGGTGTGTGTGTGTGTGGGGGGGGGGGGGGGGTTACAGCCAGTCTACAGACTCCAAATGATAAACATTGTCTCACTTTAAGTTACATTGATTGGTAACAATATGTTCATGTCGATCTGTTTACAATTTCCAAATTTCGAATGTCACCAAAGACACAATAATTAAGATTATATATATATATATATATATATATATATATATATATATATATATATATATATATATATATATATATATATATATGTAAATAGAGGATAAGTATATAAAGGTACACGCCTACTCCACTGACCCAGTAAATGTCATGTCATTCTCTCGTCCCACTCCCAATCGCGTCACATCTGGGTCTGGTTATCTCTTCGTCTACGCTATTTTTAGATTATGGAAAATCTCAAGGCCCTTTATTAATATATTCATCAGGTGTTCAAGGTCAGCTTATACTGAGTTTGATTCTGCGCCTTTTAGCTGATGTCGGCAAATTAAAAAATATATTTATTGACATTTTCTCTAGTAAATAAATCATGTTTATCTAAATGACAAGTGAATCGAAATGAAGCTTTAAGATTTGACAACAAACCCACCACCAAACCAAAGACTTTGTGACCGAATAAAAGCTTGTAAAAATACTAAACACTGTTAGTGGATAGGATGTGGTAGAGCATAGGATTGCTAACAGGATTGTCGATATCGGCCCGGAGACCCTGAGTTCTTTCAGCTTTGATTTGTACCTGTCTTCAGTTTGGAGAGGTATAGGAGGTTGAGCGTAGTGATGAACACACACTCTCTTCATACGTCGAGACCACAGAAATAGATGAACTCTACTTCACCTGCCATTGTGACCGTCAGGCACAACTAGGAATGACCCAATGACTGTCTGTGTCTTTATAATAATGTAGGCTGAATGGCGAAATAGGCTTCAACGTCGATACTAACCTAAAGTTTCAAACATAAGTCGTAGTTTTAAGCAGATATTGTTTTTTTTAATTTTAGAGCAGTTTTTGCATTAAGAATAATAAAAAAAATAATAGAAAAGTTTGATACTGAATGTAATAACATAAACTCAACAAATGACTCGTTAAGACTCCAAATGTACGCATATTGGCTACGATGACCTTTGTTTACAGTTGTGATGGATTTACATTTACATTGAAACATGCAACAATAGACGTTTGGTATTGCATCATATGAAAAAAAAATAGTCAGAACACAAACGACGCATCTTCATTACAGTTAATAAGTGGAGTAAAGAACTACATCTTTTCACCGTATGTACTGACGTACATAAAGTACACAATTTATTTATTTTTAAACAAGTTATTTTTGTTCCTGTCACACATTTGCCTGACCTGAACACAATTTGCATTTCAATAAAAACGTTTTGTGTTGTTAACCTTTGATTTTTTTATTGCAATTTTTTAAACAAAGTCAAGCAATAATTGAAAAGATATTTATATTTTATAATGCCACATAGCTTCAAAAGTAAGACTACTAGCTTGTTTTATTGCAACTTGTGCATGTTCACTACTTTTGTTGAAAGTTTATTTTTGTCTTAATGTGTCTGAAATTTAAAAATATTTGATTCATGCTATTGTTTACCAGACAAATAATACCTATAAATAAAAAATCCATATTTTTATTTTGTCAATAATATTTATTAATGAATAATCAGAAGATCAAAGGTTTGGCAATCAAAGTTCAAATCTTTACCAATTTTCAATCGCATAATCTGTTATGTCATATATAGAACAATGCGACGCAGGGAAATAAACTATTTATAAATCTCTTTTGTTTGCTTTATAAAAAACAAACCTTTTGAAAATCTAACCTTAATACGCTTAGTTCGATATCATAATACTTTTATTGTTGTAGTAAATCCCACATAAAGTCAAAGACAAACGAACCAATTTCGATTTATTACTTTTTCATGACAAACGGCACACAAAACGCATTCACTTAATACGCTTTCATGCGGCTTAAAATACATTTAAAAGAATTTTTACGATCGCGATTTTTGTTTTTAAATAACCCCAGCTGAATGTATTAACACCTTGGCAAGCTAAAAGCACTTAATACATTAACCGTTTGATAAAATTCATTGGTTCCACGTCATAAAATTTAACAGGGTATAAAGCCAGAATCAGAGAAGCATGGAGCCATTGGCAATAAAATCCGAGAAGCTTGTTCTTCAAACAGTGTTGGGGCACCTAGGTTGTAAGATATTTCAGTAAGGGGAGTGCAAAAGTTTTATGGGAACAAAAAAAAACAGGGCGTGCCCATTATTGTAAAAATTGTTTCAAGATTAGAAAAAGAAAAGTGATGAGGCAGCAAAAAAATGTAATATGTCCGAACCACCAGTTTGAATTTTTTAAAATTTTTAACAAACTGCCATTCTGGAGTCAAAATTTTATAACTCACTCGACTTTATTGAAACTTCTTCACAATTTTGCTGATAAATGTATCTCAGTAACAAATCATGAAATAAAGTGTTGATGATATTTTAAATTAGTCTTTAGGAATAAATCTATCAATTCCTGTTTTAAAACTATTTTATACGACGTGGAGGGGGGAAGCTATTATGATTCTTTTCAATATCACTTAGCAACATTGTTTTCACTATATTGTTTTAAGAAATATTTGTCTATTTTAATATATAATTCTCTTCATGGGGACCGTACGAGACACCACCACGTACACACATTCTCTCTTTAGGCATATAGCTACCACCCCCACCCCCACCATTCTGGGGAAGGGGAAATGGGGGTGGGGGGTGGGGAAGGGGAAATGGAAGGGAGGGTAGTGTCGGATTCACTAGCTATGAAGTACTGAAAAGTAGAAATAAAAAAAAACTAAATAGCGGCGTATGATACGCTCGTATAAATAAAATAAATCAAGCCTGACAGGGGAGTTAATAAAACAAAAAAATAAAATGAAAGGGAGGTAATACACAAAAGCTAACACGTCTCCTAATTCTATATGTGAAAAGGAATGTAATACATATTTTCTTCAAACAATTAACATATTCTTGTATCAAATACACTTATGGTCTTTTACAAAAAGTATTAAAAATAACCAATGTGATAAAAAAATTAAAATTGCAAGAAGTATTGAGCATATTTATTTAATGAAACACCGTAAAGAAATTAAATATAACATACTCGGGTATAAATATATTGTGTTCCTTTTCGATTGTGTACTGTTCGCGCAGTACATATAATAAAATTGGAACGATACAGAGAAGATTAGCATGGCCCTCGCGCAGAGATGACACGCAGAATCGTGAAGCGTTTCCAAATTTTTTTTTGAATTTTTTTTTTTTAAATTTAGTAGCCTATTGATTATTGGTGTTTATTGCAAAACCTTATGATAATATTATTGCAATATTTATAACGATTACAAAGATTTAGTTCTAGATCTGTTTACAGTGACAAATTATAGGCTCAACAAATCACATCGAAGAGAGCTGCGTATTCTTACGGCGCGGGTCAGCTTGTTTTCTTTATTTTAGTAAATTTAAGCTAATTGCATACACATTTTGATAGTATTAAACAACATATTTTAAAACATGTATTTTTAAAATTTTTATTGATTAATATTTTTATTAACTTCTGCCTCACATTTCCCGGCGACCTCACTGAAGACGGTGCCGTTGGTGCAGTAGAAGACCTCGGCACCAGGACAGGTGTAGTACACGACAGCGTTTTCATCGGTCCGGTACTGGCCGGGTAGTTTACCTGTACAGGTGGGCGCCAGGCCGTAGCCCAGCCCGAGGTCAGGCGACACCTCCCAGATGGAGACGCACTCTTTTTTCAGGGGAGAGAAGAAACCTCGACTTCCGGATGGGTGCACGTCACATTGGAGGACCTCAGTTCGTTGGAATGTACACCGGATGTAGTAAGGCGACCATTGTTTCAATGGGTGGGCCTAAAACATGAAGGGTTTTAACAAATGAATTAAAACAAATGTTCTTAGAATGGACACATTTTTATAAACATTAATGTTTTTAAAGAGTTTTCATAGATTTCAATGTTCATCTGCAAGTCGCAAAATCGAAACAATTAGCAGCAATTAATATTTTAAGCAACATACACTAAACACTATTTTAGCAAATGCAATCTACCATTCAACATTGCCAAACAAATGTTGGAATTATAAATAAGACTTTAATTTTAAAAAAAATTATTATTAGCTTACTATATTAAGGTAAAAAAAATTACTGAGAAGTATGATGAAAACATAGACACGATCCAACTAAGTGTAGTTAAGGACAACTTACATAGATACCGTCTGATAGACCAACACAAGACGGGTAGTTCACTGGGCAAGGGTTGCAGTACGTCCCCACACAGTGGTTTTTTAGATACTCGCCTACAACAGACAGGTTCATTGTGGATAGTTTCAATCAAATTTTTTTTATCTAAACTATTAATTTAATTTGTTTCTATATATAACCATGGATTTAAAAACAATTTTCAATTTTCTTAAGCTTTAGTAGTAGGACCAACAATTACAATTGTTTTTAAAAATAGAAGAACATTCTGATTTTTTTTTCTTTACAATAAATAAAGTGGTCGTAAAAACAGGAGTAAGACAAAAATAAATGAGAATGATTTAAAACTCACATGGGTCTTTGACGTTTTTCCGCGAAGCGCCACAGTGTGTAGCGCTGTAGGGCTTGCATCGCTTCTCCACAACATCAAACAGCTGAGGGTACGGGCATTCGTCTTGGTGGGGCTCCAGAAGGGAGTTGTCACGTGATGAGGTGTCCGAGCAGTTATAGAACTGGTGGCACGCCCGCGGGTGGGGCACAAGATCGGCGCCACCTGAACAGACGTCCGGTGGGAGGTTTTCAAACGATGGAACAGCCTCGCATTGCGCGGTGACCTCGTTGAAGACGGTGCCGTTGGTGCAGTAGAAGACCTCGGCACCAGGACAGGTGTAGTACACGACAGCGTTTTCCTCGGTCCGGTACTGGCCGGGTAGTTTACCTGTACAGGTGGGCGCCAGGCCGTAGCCCAGCCCCAGGTCAGGCGACACCTCCCAGATGGAGACGCACTCTTTTTTCAGGGGAGAGAAGAAACCTCGACTACCGGATGGGTGCGAGTCACATTGGAGGACCTCAGTCCGTTCGTTGGTACACCGGATGTAGTAGGGCGTCCATTTTTTCAATGGGTGGACCTAAAACATGAAGGGTTTTGATCTGATTAGGGTAGATTGAGGACTTTATCGATTTATATTAAGGGCTATATAACTAATTATAGAAATAAATAAACTTAGTTTAACTAAAACAAGTTTTTAATTCCTATTCCTCGACATTTAATTATTTGAACAGCGGACCCTACTCTTTACTATGTTGGAAGCGTCCACAATTTTAAAACTTCCAACCATCTTTACAATAAGCAAGAGCAGATGAAAATAAAGTCACTCATCACTCTTTAGCCTTAATCAACCCCCTCCCCTCTCACACAATAACATTTCAAAAACAATATTTTTTTTCCTTCTAAATGTCAATTGAACTGGGTCACGATTTGAAATAATGATCGATTTTTTGACGATTAAAGAAGTGCAAAATAACTACAGAAATGAGTAGCAAAAGCAATTTTACAAAAATTGAAAAATGTGACATCACCCTTTCCTACCCCCCCCCCCCCCCCTCTTTTTTTGGTTTCTTCCCCTCATCACACAATCTTCTTGAAAACCGAATCTTTTTAGGAGGGTGACTCTTATATAGAAGATACATATTAATTTTTGAAATAATATGGACGAATTAAAAAGTTTTTGACCAAAACGTTGAAGAGATTCAGTGCGTTTGGTCTAAGTTTGACTGGGTAGCCTACATCCGCTTTTAGGGCTGACAGGTTATCTTTAGGGTGTATCACACATGCGTGACTTCTATTTATAACTTACATAGATGCCATTTCGATGGCCCACACAAGAAGGGAATCTGCTAATGCAGGCTTCACAATAAATACCAGAGCAGTGGTTTTTCAAGTAGCCACCTGTTTGAATTAAAGTGGTTTTTGTAAATTGTTTTATACATAAATAAATATTTACTTAAGTTAAAACATTAATTAAACCAAGCCAGTAATGAAGTACTAAAATAATTAGGAAAAATATAAATTGTTAATTTTTATGCTTATTTAAATCTATTGTTTTTGGCAAACATATGTCTACACAAAATGTAAACAAAAGAACAACAACTCTGTCTTTACATGGATCTTTAGCTGGTACTCGTGACGCCCCACAGATCGCTGTGTTGTATGGCTTGCACCTCTTCTCCCCCACATCAAACAGCTGGGGGTAGGGGCACTCGTCCTCGTATGGCTTGAGGGGGGAGCCGTCACGTGATGAGTTGTCCGAGCAGTTGAAGTATCGCTGGCACGCCTGGGGGTGGGGCACTAGGGTGGCGCCCCCTGAACAGACGTCAATTTTAGCTAGAAAAGAAATTAAAAATTAATACACTATTTCATATATTGGGTGTTAAAAAAGTAGTCTAAATTAAAAAAAAAAACAACAGTGTTTAAAAACTCATTAGGGATCACGCATACATCATAAAACAGAAAATTATGACAAGTTTGAAACCTCATAACTATAAATATTTCATAGACCACCACCAGTTGTCACGAGGTAACAAGACAGCTGATGACAATCTATTTCTAGATTTTCTTTCTTTACATAACTGACATTTTAATGTGCTTTCTTCTTGACGTTTGAATTTCACGTGTCATGCTTATCTACTTTCACACTCTGCTTCCCAAAACTTTATTATCTCTGTCAAAAAAGTTTTTGTCCATCACAGTTCTCTGCAACCTGTCTCAGGCATTTTGTTTTGTTTTTTGCTGACTTGACAAGTTGGCTTTGGAGGGATTTCCCTGATTGTGCGATTATTTATTTTGTATTTTTAGTTCTCTTTTTCTGATTCTGTTTCATTCCTACTCATTTTTTAATAGTTTATTTATATTATATTTAAAAACATAAACCCATTTGTATGTGCTGTCTGTTGATTTACAATTCTTACTTTTGTAGCCCGCCCACAATGCTGTCTTTTGTAGTCACGTAATCAGTATAAAGTTTCTTATAGATCTAGTACATGCTTGATTAGGTCACATACAAACCAAACTTTGTTATCACAAGTATAGCTTTCATGTGTAACTGCTGAATACAATATTCTACTTACACTTGAATTTACTGAATATAATATTTATACTTACGTGTGTATGTAATGGTAGTAATATTTTGCTTACATGTATATGTGCTGAATGTAATATTTTACTTACATTTACATGTGCTAAATGTAGTATTTTACTTACATGTGCAAGTATCAAGCAGCGAGCCCTGTTTTACACACGTACTGTACTTTTCGTTAAAGTGCGTCCCCTGCGGACACGGCATCAAGATGGCGTTGCCATGGACGCACACGAAGTAGGAGCCACAGCTTTCAGGGTTACTGTACAGGAGCGTCGCTGGCTTGGGGTTTATAGCCGAGAGCTGAGGGCATAGGTTCGGGACCGCCGAGACGGCTAGACCAATGAGAAGGGCACACGTGGTCACGTGATGAAGCGTCATGTCTGTGGCCGCTGAAAGTGAAAGTGCTCATGTTGAGTAGATGGCTAAGATAGGGGTCAGGATTGTGTTTTATAGATCAATCCTATACAAGCAATAAGATCTTATCTAGATATGGTAGGGTAGGGTCGGGTCGGGTAGGGTAGGTAGGGTAGGGTAGGGTAGGGTAGGGTAGAGTAGAGTAGGGTAGGGTAGGGTAGGGTAGGGTAGGGTAAGGATTAGGAATAGGATTTGAATTTAGGTTTAGGTTTAGGTTTGTGTTTAGGTTTAGGTTTGGGTTTAGGTTTAGGCTTAGAATTAGGCTTAGGTTTAGGTTTAGGCTGAGGGTGTAGGTTTAGGGTTAGGGTTTGGGTTAGGGCTAGGGTTATGATCATGATTAGTAGGGGTAGGGTAGGGTAGGGTTAGGGTTAGGATGGGGGTTCGGCTTACGTTTAGTGTTTGGGTTAGGGTTAAAGGTACCAAAAAACAGACTTTTTCATGCAAATTATTAATTACAGGCATCAGTTTCACCCTCTTAAAATAAAATCTAAAAGTTCTAGTTTCGTATCCTCTTTTTTATAATCTTTTTGGACGGCGGGTGATAATGTGTAAACGATCCAGACAATACTGTTACTGTATAGTCCATATCTCAGGCGACCTCGATCTTCTGTTAAAACATGCCCAAACAGACGATAGACTTGGGAATTCCTTCATGTTTACAGTTTAATCACCCTAATACGAATATGTACCCTATTCGAAAAATTAACTACATTTTATTTAGGCGCCTCAAGAAACATTGATTGCTAAAAAATGTATTATTATTTATCTTTTGCTTCTGATCATCGTTTGAAATAATGTACACCTAATGATTGTTTGGTTCGTTTTGATAATGAAAACAATGACTGAAAACTAATGCCGGTCACAGTGTCAGAAACTGCCGCTGTCTTCGATGAAAAATAAGTTGAATCTTCAAACAAAGAGTTAGATTTAAAAAAGCCATTTGTACGTTACGTATTTAACCTCACCTTTTCGAAACGCTAACCGTTCACAAAGTCAGTTGAATCCAGGTGACTTTACTGACACAGATAATTTGTCGTTCTCCTACCTGTTCTGGGCTTTTATTCCTTTGTGTAACAGACACCGCTGTACGACATCCGTATACAGGGCTGTCGCACCTGTTTATTTCGTCAAATGTCAAATTGTTTAAAACGTAATTCATTTAGTTGGAAAACAACAGTGGGAAAATTAAAGTATCATGGTGACAAGTGGAATTTTGGTCAAAGGTTGTGGTGAGAGTTGACATACACAGACACATATACTCACACACAACAATCACGTGCGCATACACATACACACAGGCATGCACTCACTCACACACACACACACACACTTACACGGACGCTTACACAAACTCACGCACAAATATATATATATATATATATATATATATATATATATATATATATATATATATATATATATATATACATAGGCCTATATATACATATATATAAATAAATACATATATATATATATATATACACACACACACACACATATATATATATATATATATATGTATATATATATATATATATATATATATATATATATATATATATATATATATATATGTATATATATATATATATATATATATATATATATATATATATATATATATATATATATATATATATATATATATATATATATATATATATATATATATATATATATATAAACATACATACATAAATGTGTATGCCTGCACGTGTGTTGAGAAGTGAGTTAAAGTTCAAAGAAAAGTATTTTAACATGTTATAACTATACCTAATGCTGATCTCTTTATTAAGACCACCACATTAAAAGTCAACCAACCCGCCCAAATACTTTTGACTCATTGGACTGCCCTATTATCCCGGATATTGTGACAGACGCACCTTGCTGCTACCTTAAACCACTCCGGTAGTTACCTGTAGAGATCCTGTAGAATTAGATCAACCAACACAAAAACAAACAACGTGACATTTAAGAAAAAATATATGCACTTAAATACTTTTACATTTTGGAATTTAGAATACGCGTTTATTTCACAACACGAAATAATTAGAACTTGAAAACTTAAAACTAAACACTTCAATACGACAGTTACATACATTCTAGTCGGCTATATAAACAAATACAAGTTTGACTTTGTACTCACACTTAGATAATGTTTAGTCTATGTTTTAATCTAGTCTGAGTAATCGCGTTTTTTTTTTAATGTACGGTCAGTACTTATATTTTACTTATATTTTACGACTAGAAATATAGGGGAGGAAGATAGAAATATATAATTTAAAGGGTGGTGATTTTTTAGAGATGTTAATTAACATTATTTAAGGTGGGGGTAGGTAAAAATACTTTGTTACTAGGTTATATAAAATATATACGCGATGACCAAAGACTGCTTTTTTTGTATGGTTTAGTTTTAGGTTTAAAAAATATAGTTTGGTAGTTTCTCATAACGCTATACTACATCCGGGGTTGATTTTATGTTTTAGGAACGTTGGTTAGGATTTTGTTTTTGGTATTGTAAAGGTTAGGGTTACTGTTAGAGTTCTGTTAATCTTAGGCGATTACTCGTTTTAGGGCTTGTCATGCTTAATTGTACCCCGGATAACCCCGGAAGATTACAGATATTATTTGCATACTTGGATTACTAATTCCTTTAATTTTGATAAACATTAAAAAAAAAACAGTTAAAATAAATTTAAAAAAAACTTTAATCCGCTCGTGATTCTACATTTTAGCCGGAAATCCCCCTTTTAATAAAGGATTGTTTTCTTCCCAACAATGAAACTAAATCAAACAGCTCCTATTGTAGAAGTGCAGTGTACCATTTGCCCTTATCTTCGAAATCGTTTGACGGGGTTTTATTGGCCGCCCCAAGAAGGCTGGGCGTCACGTGGTTAGATGACGTAGACCCTCCACACGAAGTGTGACAACAAGCCTAGCTGGTACAGGGAAAGATGGTTATCATGCTAATTCCTGCTGCTGATATCGGGCTGATCTCACGCGATATCCTTGAGGAGCAGTTGGGGTGGTACGTTTTACGGCGGGTCTAAAACTGTGGGGTGGGGTGGTACGTTTTACGGTGGGTCTAAAATTGTGGGTTGGGGTGGTACAGTTTATGGTGGGTCTAAAATTGTGGGGTGGGGTGGTACATTTTATGCTGGGTCTAAAATTGTGGGGTGGGGTGGTACATTTTATGCTGGGTCTAAAATTGTGGGGTGGGGTGGTACATTTGACGGTGGGTCTAAAATTGGGGGGTGGGGTGGTAAATTTTATGGTGGGTCTAAAACTGTGGGGTAGGTTGGTACATTTTACGATGGGTCTAAAATTGTGGGGTGGGGTGGTACATTTTACGGCGGGTCTAAAATTGTGGGGTGGTACAGTTTATGGTGGGTCTAAAACTGTGGGGTAGGGTGGTACAGTTTATGGTGGGTCTAAAATTGTGGGTGGGGTGGTACATTTAACGGTGGGTCTAAAATTGTGGGGTGGGGTGGTACAGTTTATGGTGGGTCTAAAATTGTGGGGTGGGGTGGTACATTTGACGGTGGGTCTAAAATTGGGGGGTGGGGTGGTAAATTTTATGGTGGGTCTAAAACTGTGGGGTAGGTTGGTACATTTTACGATGGGTCTAAAATTGTGGGGTGGGGTGGTACATTTTACGGCGGGTCTTAAATTGTGGGGTGGTACAGTTTATGGTGGGTCTAAAACTGTGGGGTAGGGTGGTACAGTTTATGGTGGGTCTAAAATTGTGGGTGGGGTGGTACATTTAACGGTGGGTCTAAAATTGTGGGGTGGGGTGGTACAGTTTATGGTGGGTCTAAAATTGTGGGGTGTGGCGGTACATTTAACGGTGGGTCTAAAATTGTGGGGTGGTACATTTTACGGTGGGTCTAAAATTGTGGGGTGGGGTGGTACATTTTATGATGGGTCTTAAATTGTGGGGTGGGGTGGTACAGTTTATGGTGGGTCTAAAATTGTGGGGTGGTACATTTAATGGTGGGTCTAAAATTGTGGGGTGGTACATTTTACGATGGGTCTAATATTGTGGGGTTGGGTGGTACAATTTATGGTGGATCTAATATTGTGGGGTGGTACATTTTACGGCGGGTCTAAAATTGTGGGGTGGGGTGGTACATTTAACGGTGGGTCTAAAATTGTGGGGTGGGGTGGTACATTTTACGGTGGGTCTAAAATTGAGGGAGTGGGTTGGTAAATTAAACGGCGGGTATAAAATTGTGGGGGGGGGGGGAAGGGTACAATTTCGCCGTGTAGTGGAGGTGGTAGATTTAACGGTGGGTCTAAAATTGGGAGGGGGGGGGGGAGTAAAATTTCATAGTGGGTCTAAAACTGTGGGGTGGGGGTGGTAAATTTAACAGTGGGTCTAAAATTGTGGGGTGGGGGTGGTACATTAAACGTTGCGTCTAACATTTTGGGTCGGGTTTGTATATTTAACAGTGGGTCTAAAGTTATTCGTTGGGGTGGTACATTTACAAGTGATTCTACTACTGTGGGGGTGAGGTGTTTAATTTAACAGTGGGTCTAAGACGGGTATGTGTGTGTGTGTGGGGGGGGGGGGGGGTAAATTTAACGATTGTTCTACATTTTTGGGATGGCTTAGTATTTTTAACAGTGGATCTAAGGTTGTTTATTAGGGTGGTAAATGTACACATGAGTCTAATACTGGTGCGTGGGATGGTAAATTTAACAATGGGTCTGACACTGGGGTGTGGCACGGGATGGTGGATTAATCAGTGGATGTAACACTGAAGTATGGAGTGGTAAGTATATTAGTGGTTCGTACACTGGCGCGTTGGGTGGTAAATATATTTGCCGGTATAGAAGTATGGTAACTGTTTTTAAATATATGCTAGTGAGTATATGTATATGTGCCCAAGAAATACGGGGCAGATGAAGTAAAGTTCATCTATTTCAGTAAACTCGACCTATGAAGAGATAGTGTGGTCAGCAATATACCCGGTTTTATATTATTAAGCGTTAGGTACCCATCAAAGCTAGATAGACTCAATGACCTTTTTACCGGCTTGAACCCGGATTCGAACTCGAGACTTTCGGGTGGGTTAGTCTAGCAGTCTAGCGCTTTACCCTAGACCACGCCGTCACACATTATAAAAATGGACACAAGGAAAGTGCTATTTACTACGGAAGTGAGATAAAAATGAATTGTTTTTAACAACATTGAGCAAATAAACAAAGAACCACCAGAAACATCCATATATATAAACTATTGTGAGAGATCAAATTACATAACATTCAAGCTCTGCTTCAGATGATTGTACCGCTATCTCGTAGTTTCTTGGAAGACACTAATCTGAATGGAACCCAATACGTTTTGTGTCTGCCTAGCCAAGCGGAACGGGTCATTACGTTCCATCAAGATTGCCGTACCAATGCTTTTGTTAGACAAATCTTTTCAAGGCAGACACAAAGGGAAGACCCGACAAACGCTTCTGCCAACCCGTCCATTGTTTAGACTTACCTAGAACTGCTTTGTAAAAACACACAATAATATTTTTTTTTTTTGCTGAGAAATGTAATAAATATTGCCGTGTTAGAAATCTAAAAAAAATATTTGTCTTGTTTATATTATAGCATGGTGTGATTAATGTCAGTGTATCATTTAGATAAAGACTTTATTTATAAAATCCGGATAAGGAATAACTGTCGGGTTTTTAGAAATTGGCCTTGTTATGTATGGGATTTAGACCCTTGTAGCAGGTGACTCTGTAGCAGGTGACCCCTTTAGCAGGAGATCCCTGTTGCGGATGACCCTTGTCGGAGGAAACCCCAATAGCAAGAGATCCCACTAGCATATGTCCCCGGGCGCCGACCCTAGAGGGCGCCAAAATGGGTTTGAAAAAAAATTAAAAGCTCACTTTAGCTGCAGTTTTGCAATGTAAATATAAAAGAAATATATGGGGGGGGCGCCAAATTGAAAGTTTCTCCCGGTGAGGGGGGCTGGTCGTTAAGTTGAAAGTTTGTCCCCGGGCGCCGGGAAGGGTCGCTACACCTCTGCCCTGTAGCAGAAGACCCATGTACATTGTCGGTGGATTATGCAGCTGCTCGCGACTCCACAGTGTGTCGCTACTACCCTGCTAGCATCCTCTGCAATTTAAAAAAAAATTAAATTTAAAATTATAAGAAATTTAATACTTCAAATAAACTCGAAGACAATTGTCTTTATCTGTCATTGATAATACCAGGATACACTGCGGACGACATATTTCTATGAATTCACACATGCAATCTGTCATACTCTACAATATCAGCAGACGTAAAGTTCACCCGATTGTCAGCAAGGCAATACCCTCCAAACCCAACCATCGAGGCCACCTTTCGTGACGACGTCGTATTCTTTCGTTCGGAGCGTACAGCGTCAGATCCGTGTTTCTTCTAGGTCACCCGCTGCTCAGCCGAGCGTGAAGCGTGACGAGGTCCTGCACGTGTGACGGTCGGTTATTTAAGGCGGGGCACTAGGGCAGCAGAGTCACAGGAAGCTGAGAAATCAGACGATCACCAAGTCACCCAGACGGAAGCTCAAGTCAGACGATCGCCACGCCACATACTTGTCTGCTAATAATTATTGAATCGTGACATATTTTTTGTAAGTTGACATTTCAATGAAATAACATATTTATTATTATATTTTTTTTCCAACTACTTTTGTAATCGATTGTTGCTATTAAATATAATTAGGCCCTATAGTTTGAAGTTTAATTTTTTGTCTAAAAAATGTGTGAAGAAATATTATTATTTCGAAAATTTAAAATTTAATTTTAAAAAGTTGGTATATATTTTTAATGAATAAAGGGAAGTAAAAGGGATAGAGTGGTAAGCACTATACACAGCCGCCTTTGTTTCCCTAACGTTAGTTAGGTATCCATCAAATTTCCCGACCCATCTGCCCGACCCACGTTTTTTGTCATCAAATGTATGTAAATAGTTATTTTCTACTTTTTAGTCCACAAGATAAACGTGGTTTTTTAAAAAGTTTTTTTTAAGTATTTTATTTTCTCCTTTTTAGTCCGTTGCTACACATGAAAAACGAGGTTTTTAAAAAAGTTTTTTATATAGTTCATTTTCTACTTTATCTAATGACTTGATTAAGTATGAATTGACTAAGTGTTTATAAATACACGGACTAAAAATATTGAGCGACCAGGATTCGAACCTGGGTTGTCGCGGCCACAACGCGAAGTATTAACCACTATACGATCACGGCCAGCGCGCTCACAGCGATTGGGGCCGAAGTAACTGTTTCAATAGGCCTCCAGTCTTGTCGGTATCTTTAGAAATCATGTCCTCAAATTTATGGTCCTTGGGGCGTAATTAAATTAAGCTAATTACGGTCTCTAATTGCTAGTTTTTATGATTGCATCTGAAATTGTTAGGCGAAAGTAGCGTGTATGTCAAATTTCAGATCTCTAGAGCAATCAGAAGTGGGCTAATTTTCGATGTCAATTTTAACAACAAACAAACAAATCCACAAACGCGAAGCTGAGTTAAGAAAAACGTGTTAAGAAAAGCAGGCTGAAATCAGGGTCAACGAGATATACGACGCACAACACGTTGACACGTATTACTTACTAGTGTTGGATGAAATCCCATCCAATATTACAATTAAAGAACCAAGAAGAAGCATATAAAGAAAACCGCAAAAATAATTACCTTTATCTCTGTAACAAAATGACTTCCTTATTCCACAGGACAGCCATACTTACTTCCCATCATCTTGTTGAAAAAATCTCTATTTTCCACAAGACAGCCATGGTTACTTCCCATGTCATATTTATAACAAAATCTATTCCACAGGACAGCCATGCTTACTTCCCATGTCATATTTACAACAAAATCTATTCCACAGGACAGCCATGCTTACTTCCCATGTCATATTTACAACAAAATCTATTCCACAGGACAACCATGCTTACCTCCCATGTCATATTTATAACAAAATCTATTCCACAGGACAGCCATGCTTACTTCCCATGTCATGTTTATAACAAAATCTATTCCACAGGACAGCCATGCTTACTTCCCTTATCATATTTATAACAAAATCTATTCCAAAGGACAGCCATCCTTACCTCCCATGTCATATTTATAACAAAATCTATTCCACAAGACAGCCATGCTTACTTTCCATGTCATGTTTATAACAAAATCTATTCCACAGGACAGCCATGCTTACTTCCCATGTCATATTTACAACAAAATCTATTCCACAGGACAACCATGCTTACCTCCCATGTCATATTTATAACAAAATCTATTCCACAGGACAGCCATGCTTACTTCCCATGTCATGTTTATAACAAAATCTATTCCACAGGACAACCATGCTTACCTCCCATGTCATATTTATAACAAAATCTATTCCACAGGACAGCCATGCTTACTTCCCATGTCATATTTACAACATAATCTATTCCACAGGACAGCCATGCTTACTTCCCATGTCATGTTTATAACAAAATCTATTCCACAGGACAGCCATGCTTACTTCCCTTATCATATTTATAACAAAATCTATTCCAAAGGACAGCCATGCTTACCTCCCATGTCATATTTATAACAAAATCTATTCCACAAGACAGCCATGCTTACTTTCCATGTCATGTTTATAACAAAATCTATTCCACAGGACAGCCATGCTTACTTCCCATGTCCTATTTATAACAAAATCTATTCCACAGGACAACCATGCTTACCTCCCATGTCATATTTATAACAAAATCTATTCCACAGGACAGCCATGCTTACTTCCCATGTCATGTTTATAACAAAATCTATTCCACAGGACAACCATGCTAACCTCCCATGTCATATTTATAACAAAATCTATTCCACAGGACAACCATGCTTACCTCCCATGTCATATTTATAACAAAATCTATTCCACAGGACAGCCATGCTTAGTTCCCATGTCATATTTACAACACAATTTATTCCACAGGACAGCCATGCTTAGTTCCCATGTCATATTTATAACAAAATCTATTCCACAGGACAGCCATGCTTACTTCCCATGTCATATTTACAACACAATTTATTCCACAGGACAACCATGCTTACCTCCCATGTCATATTTACAACACAATTTATTCCACAGGACAGCCATGCTTACTTCCCATGTCATATTTATAACTAAATCTATTCCACAGGACAGACATGATTACTTCCCATGTCATATTTACAACACAATTTATTCCACAGGACAGTCATGCTTACTGCCCTGTGCCTCATCTCGACGCTTATCGTCGCCATCACGTCGCTCGACGTTATCAACAAATGTCCTCAACCCACCGCGGACAACCCAGTCCCAGGTATCTACTACTACAGCAACCCGCTCAACTGCGGCTCCTTCTTTATCTGTTTCTTCGGCAACCCCATCCAGATGCCCTGTGCCCCGGGCACCAGGTTCAACGATGCCCTTCAGACGTGTGTTATCCAAGGCTCTGGTCTCGATATATGTCAAGGTAACGTCTTAGGTACCCCCCTCCACCCCTCTCGATATATGTCAAGGTAACGTCTTCGGTACCCCTCTCCACCCCTCTCGATATATGTCAAGGTAACGTCTTAGGTACCCCCTTCCACCCCTCTCGATATATGTCAAGGTAACGTCTTAGGTACCCCCTTCCACCCCTTCTCACCAGGAAGGGCGGTAAAAATTGGGCGTCTAGCACGATCTACACATTAGCATTACAATCGTTATTAGAATGTTAGAGCCAGTGCGTCCCCGCCCTACTTAACACCACCCCTTCTTATTGAGTTTGTAGTGATGTTATGAGGTGTTTCGTGTCGTGCCTGCTGCGAGTGGGTTAAATATCGTACTGTGTTATTGATGGACGTAGATGGTTACAGTTAGTTGGTTTACGAGATAAGTTGTATTCGATTAACAATTTATTTTTACTTATTTCAGAGGTTGTAGAAACAACGACACCATCTACCACCACTACTACGACTACCACAACTACAACGCCTACAACCACAACCCCCACTACCACAACCACAACCCCCACTACCACAACCCCTACTACCACTCCAACAACTACAACCTCAACCACCACAACCACAACGACTGCAGTACCCACCACAACTCCAACTACAACGACTGCAGAAGACACAACAACTACAACCTCAACCACCACAACTCCAACGACCACGACTTCAGAACCCACCACAACCACTCCCACAACCACCACAAACACCCCCACCACCACCATCCCCACAACGACACCATTCCCAGGGTGCTCCGTGCCAGGCGCCACCCTCATCCCCCACCCCACCGTCTGCATGAGGTACTACAACTGCAGCGACCTGTCCCCCCGCACCAACCGACTGGCCCGGTATGAGGACGAGTGCCCCTACCCCCAGCTGTTTGACGGAGTACTCAACGCCTGCAGACGCTGGGACACAGCAAACTGTGGGCCAGACAGGGTCATCCAAACCGCGCCATGTAAGATTTTCATCAAGACATTCATGTGATATTCAATATATTTATAGCTACATACCGATCATGTGATATTCAATATATTTATAGCTACATACCGATCATGTGATATTCAATATAAATATAGCTACATACCGATCATGTGATATTCAATATATTTATAGCTACTTACCGATCATGTGATATTCAATATATTTATAGCTACATACCATTCATGTGATATTCAATATATTTATAGCTACATACCGTTCATGTGATATTTGACATATTTAGCAATACGTACCATTCGTATGATATTCAATATATTTATAGCTACATACCGATCATGTGATATTCAACATATTTAGCACTACATACCATTCATGTGATATTAAATTTATTTATAACTACATACAATTTATGTGATATTCAACATCGTAAAGCCACATACCATTCAACTTATGTAACGCTACATACCATTCATGTAATATTCAACAACTTTACAATTACATACCATTCTCGTAACATTAACATATTTAAAGCTACATACCATCTCAATTATTTTCGTAATTCAATTTAATGTACACAAAAGCCTTGTACACTTCTTTAACCAGCCCTTTTCATAACCTACTATTTTAATCATTTACAAATTGTGATGTTAGAGAAAACCTACACTTTTGGTTAAAGTAATCAGTGAAATAGGATTTTTTTTACAAACCACTAAATTTTGACACCGAAAATGTTTATATCACTCTACAACTTTAAAACTTTACACATACGAACTATTGTTAAAAGAGTAGACTACTTTGATATCATCTTGAATTCACTATTGCCGGCAAGTCTCAATGTGCTGTTAGATATAAAAAAAAATGCAGATATCGTGTATTGACAATTCCATTATTTTCAGGCGATTATTTGAAAATTAAGAGCTGTGTGGGGGACCACTGTCAACCTTGTGAGGCCACCTACCCTTCATGTGTGGGCGTGGCTGACGGATACCACGTGAGTGTGTTGTTACTTTAAGCAATCACGGCCAACATTCACTCAAAGGGCTCAACGCGTATATGCAAAATATATATTTTTGTAATCCCAATCTGTAATCGCAGACATCTATAGGCCTATATATTAATATTTAAAAACAAGACAACGTGGGATTTCAGCTTAGATGAAGGACATCTGACAACGTGTAGGATTGATATTCGGACAGTTTAACACTTGCTCGAAAATAGTTAATTTAATTTAATAGAAACATCTTTTTTACCAACTTTTTTTTTTTTGGAAAAAAATCGTTACTTATTAAATAATTTTATGGACAGAAGTCGATTTCAGTTGATATCTCCGTTGCAATTTTTATCATTTTTCTCTTCTAGTCAAGCATTTTGAAATTAGATTCACACAACATGCGCCACTACAAAATTCATTATCTTTGCTACTTTATATAAGCTTCTCAATTATCCTTCCTACTACTCATAAGTTTATAAATTAAAAACATGAAGTAAAAAAAAAAATAACAACAACAAATGTAACTAATATGCCTGATTGTTGCTAAGGGCGTTGAAGACAAGGTCGACCATACATTATAACGTAGATTCACCAACACAAAGTATCTCAAACTAATAACTTGACAGGATCGCAGTTTTTAACACGTTTTTAACACGTTTTTATTAACTCAGCTTCGCGTGGATGTGTTTGTTGTTAAAATTGACATCGAAAATTAGCCCACTTCTGATTGTTCTATAGTTCTGAAATTTGGCATGCAGGTTACTTTCGCCTAACAATTTCAGATGCAATCATAAAAACTAGCAATTAGAGACCGTAATTAGCTTAATTTAATTACGCCCCAAGGACCATAAAATTGAGGACATGATTTCTAAAGATACCGACAAGACTGGAGGCCTATTGACACAGTTACTTCGGGCCCAATCGATGTGAGCGCGCTGGCCGTGATCGTATAGTGGTTAGTACTTCGCGTTGTGGCCGCGACAACCCAGGTTCGAATCCTGGTCGCTCAAGATTTTTAGTCCTTGTATTTATAAACACTTAGTCAAGTCAAACTTAATCAAGTCATTAGATAAAGTAGAAAATAACCTATATAAAAAACTTTTTTAAAAACCACGTTTTTCATGTGTAGCAACGGACTAAAAAGGAGAAAATAAAATACTTAAAAAAACTTAAAAAAAAAACCACGTTTTTCTTGTGGACTAAAAAGTAGAAAATAAATTTTCATACATTTTATGACAAAAAACGTGGGTCGGGCAGATGGGTCGGGAAATTTGATGGTGAACGTACCCACGTTTTTTGTCATCAAATGTATGAAAATTTATTTTCTACTTTTTAGTCCACAAGAAAAACGTGGTTTTTTAAAAAGTTTTTTTAAAGTATTTTATATTTAATTCTTTATTGCACATGACGTCCACTTGATAGACACGGACGACAACTTTCACAACGTAAACAAAGACTTGAGTACAATTCACGACGACGGACGAATGCCTCTTCACTCTAGCACAACAAAACGCAAACTGTCCTAACCTACTTCCCCCAGCAACAAGATCCTACTCTCAAACATCACATCCTTAAGTACTTCATCCCACTATCACAATCTTAATATAAAAATCCTTCCACAACAATCATACTCTCATACTCTCGCAATACACAGAGATACCATTCACTACACTGATTATCTATCTGACAGGAATACCCATTGAAGCTGTGGTCAAGGTATTACACCAACTGCTACTACAACAGAACCGAGTTCCTCACCTGCCCGACCCTACCCTCCGGGCTGCCCGGGTACTTCTCCCCTCTGAAGAAGACCTGTGTGTCGATATACGAGGTCCCCACCTCCACAGGTTTCGGGAAAGCCCCGAGTTGTGACGGGAAAGAGGCTAGGTTTTACAGCGTTCCGGAGAGGCCTATCGTGTACTACAGCTGTCCCAGCGCACAGGTTTATTACTGCAATTATCTCCATGTTTTTAGTGACGCCATTCAGAGCTGCTTATAGAGTCGACGTCATAGCTCTACAGTATCATTGTTTTACTGCAAGTATCTTCACTTTTTTAATGACGCCTCTCAGAGTTGCCCGTAGAGTCGATGTCACTACTCTACACAGAACATTGTATTGCTGCAGGTATCGCCATGTTTTCTTGATGACGTCATGCAAAGTTCTCTACACGCTATAGCTACGTCACAGTTCTTCACCCATCATTGTTAACTAAAGGTATCTCCATGTTTTTTAATGATGTTATATTATTATAACGTCACATTACTGATGCACTCGTCCGTTACGACCTTGTATCAGACGTTGCATCAGTGAGAATTTTCACTAGACGACAACACAGGTGCCCGAGTAAAAACATCATCAACTGTATATAGACCACGCTCATGTTTTTGCCATTGTGATAAAATAAAAAGAAATTAGACAAAAAAAAACGAGCCATGAATTTAGGAACTCACTGTCTCGATATGCATATGTTAATCGATCTGCTGATCGATGCTGTATTCCGTGTGATTGATTGTTAGATCAAGTTTGTTATATGTTCAGTATTTTGTAAAAATTTAAACTTGTATTTTACATTTTTGTAAATAGCCTGATTAAAACAATTTTTAAAACTTTGGTTTTTTCTTACATTCTGTAATTTTTGGTAAGTGGTTGAGTTGTACTTTTGGTAAAGCCGCATTGTTCACACGTTTACTGCTTGAAAGAAGTTTCTAGTCTAATAAACGATTGAAAATTTTGGTGAACAACCACCCTCGCAACGTTCCCATTCGTCAACGTACAATGCTGATAATTGTAAAAAGCGCTCTCCAAACTTGAAGAAAACAAAAGAGTACGCCCCAAATTTATCTAAAAATAACTGAATGCTACTCAAATTGGTGAACTTTTTTTAAAAAAAAAAAAGGTGTGACAAAACACAGATGCTCCTGAATTTATCAAAACGAAAAAAAAGAGTCTAAAATTATACGACATAGGTGTTTTACTCAATGTAACCTACTTTTATTCAAGGGAAACTACTGAGTTGGTGGTATCAAATACACATTTAAAAACGTATTAACTCCCTTATGCCAGTGTCCACTTTAACGGAGACCATTTCTACGATATTACCGCTGCGCTAAACAGAACACAATTGTTGAGAAGGGAAAGCAACGTTAATTAATGAGGGGGGGGGGGGGTAGAGGGAATAAAAGACATCACGCTTATTTTGGGTCAATTTTTAGCTCACCCAACTTAGTCACAAAATGTCTGAGGCTATCGTCTGCGCTTTCGCTCTCGCTAAAGCGTAAGACGTGTGACTATTGATTTATTAATGTGTACAACTGAATTACAGTAATGATTGTTAAACAAATATAGATCTTATACACACTACACAACACATACACCACACACACAAACACACACACACACACATATATATATATATATATATATATATATATATATATATATATATATATATATATATATATATATGTATAAATATATATATATGTATAAATATATATATATGTATACATATATATATATGTATACATATATATATATATATATATATATACATACATATATATATATATATATATATATACATATATATATATATATATATATATATATATATATATATATATATATATATATATATATATATATATATATAATTTTAATTATATATAATAAATAATAACATAAATTAGAAGGAAGCGTTTATTCTTTTTGACATTTTAATTTATTTACTTATTTTTTAGCGCACTTAAAAGTTTGTCATTATCAAATGCCCCTGTGGATTTCTATTGTACATCGATTTACACGGAGACTTGGCTTTTACAATAGAACCGTTCCTTTAAATCATATGGCGACAAATCTTATTGTAACTGTATCCTGGTGTTCAGACATCTGTGACGCCTAAGTCATAAGTCATGCGCTGAAACTCTTCGACTGGAGCGCAGCAGTTATTGCCTGGGTTAAGCGTTGCGGTTAACCTGATCTAAACAAGGGAGCCCGGATGTGCAGCTGGACATTATTGTTACCCGTAACTTTTTACTTTATTACTAGCTGAAATACCCGTCGTGGGTCGGGATTGGTTTATAAAATACAATTTTCATTCTAGCGTCTATTTGTGAACTGGGTTACATGAGAAAATATAGGATGGTTAACCAGTGTAGTGCTTTGGACAGTTTACGGTAGTCTGATTGGTAAGTGAAGTAACGAAAGGAACAAAACCTCAACACAACCCCAATTACTAATATTCCGTACTATTATGGGGTCATCCATAAATGACGTGACACTCGTAGGGGGGGGGGGGGGGCGTAATTTTGTGACGATGTGTGATGAGTGGGAGGGTGGGGGGGGGGGGTTCAGATGTTGCGATGTCACTTTTGCATTATAAAAAAGCAATGTTAGAAAACGAATTTTAGACGTTATTTCGCGTTTTAGATAACAGTTTTAATAAATTGTAATAGTTTAGACAAGATTTTAGAAAAATATCAATGTTTTTAAAAAATTCAACTGCAATTTTGAGGGGGGTTGTAGGTTGGGGTGTGACGTCATTTTAGGGGGGGGGTCTGGCTTTTTGTGACGACGTGTGACGGAGGGGAGAGGGGGAGGTAAAAATCGTCAAAAAAAGTGTGACGTCATTTATGGATGACCCCTATAAACATATTGTTTGCGTTCACTTGATGCGCAATTCTTTTTTCTACGAGATTCTATTCTATTTTTAAAAAGTTTAAGTAATTAAAAATTGATTAAAAATCATGTCTATATCTCGAGTTACCATCCTTTGTTATATAAGAATATTCGAGAAAATTGAGTAAAGACCACACCCGCTTTATTTTTTATAGGGGTCATCCATAAACGACGTCACACTTTTTTAAACGATTTTTTACATCCCTCGCTCCCCTCCGTCACACATGTAAATACCTTCACCCGTACGTTAATAAATACCGACCCCCCACCTAAAATGACGTCACACCTCAGCCTACAAACCCCCTCAATATTGCTGTTGAATTTTTCTTAAAACATCGATATTTTCCCAAAATCTTGTCAGAACAGAGTATTTTGATCAATTCCAATTACAATTTATTAAACCCGTTTTCTAAATCGTGAAATAACGGCTAAAACTCGTTTTCTAACATTGCTTTTTTATAATGAAAAAAGTGTGACGTCACACCATCTGAACCCCCCCCCCCTCCCCATCATCACACACCGTCACAAAATTACAGACCCCCCTCCCCCCTACGAGTGTGACGTCATTTATGGACGACCCCAAATGTAGGAGGAAGGCGCCGTTTTCGGAACTGATGTTACAATTTTATAACCTATTTCTATTTTGCAGTAAAAACAAAATGTAGCCTAGTTTGGTATTAACATTTTAAATAGCAGGATCTGAGTAAGTTAGAAACAATAGAAAAAAAAGCATCGCACTATACCACCCTATTCAATATAAATTATGCTTTATTTTAAACGTGATTGGTAAATTTATGTTGCTAATTTTATTGAAATTATAACATGAAAATAAAATTTAAGAAAAAGTTTAACTGAAATGTAATTGATTTAAATTAAGGAGAGAGATGTGTTTGATCCACTGGACGTCATTCACTTTGGTTCTGGTGGTGTCTTAATGTCACTTGAAGTTAAAATAAGAAACACGAAAATGGGTTGCATATGTTCATATTATAGTAAATGATCCAAGGGAGGCAACTTTATATAACATTTAACAAATCTTTATCACATGCTCATTATACAAAAAAAAAGATAACTTTTTGAATAAAGCTAATTAAGTATAATATATTTTTAGAAATGTATGTTATGGAAAAAAAAGTTTCATTAATGACATTTTACATAAATAATTTTACTATAATTAAAAATATAAAACTTTAAATGATATATATATATCTTTTATAAATAAATCAATAATTCACTTTTAATCGACTGCTTGGAAAATTGTTCGCATCGTGGAATTCATCTTACACCAGAACTTATTTAAAGTTCTAAATCTTGTCTCTTTCCCCTCATCTTTCACACTGCAACCTTTTGAAAATTCAATGCGACCACTATAACACCCTTTCAACTAGTCAACTTAAGTTGTTTCCCTACATAGAAAATGCTTCACTGTCCCATTGACCCTCTCTGAAAAATTACCTTTCCTCTCCCCACCCAGACTTCTGACACTTTCATTTGACCTTCACCCCTTTTACTGTCATCCTTTGCAATTTTTTTTAATAATCAAATACATGACATCATGTAAATTTGCAAAACCTTTCGTTTTCATTTGGTGTTCAAAATTATGTTAAAAAATTTGATGTTGATGTACTTGTTTTAATTGCAAATAAAAGTATTTAAATAAAAAAAAAAATTAAAAAAAAAACATGTACTGTTCACGCAGTACATACAATAAAATTGGAACGATACAGAGAAGATTAGCATGGCCCTCGCGCAGAGATGACACGCAGAATCGTGAAGCGTTTCCAAATTTTTAAAAATAAGACACTGCGATGCACTGAAAAGCACTGCATGGTGCGATGTTTACTTTTATGCTCCTGAATTCTGCTCTCATCTGTCATAGGCCGAAGTTATTCCTTTATAATTGTGGACCATTCTGAAATAAATACAAAATTAAATGTTAGAAAGTCTAATTAATAATGTGTGTATGGGGATGTTTAGCTCTAAATATTGCATAAATTATAATAAATAATATAGAGGAATGCCTGGCTATTTGACTAACTCAATGCTAACTGACACAACAAAAAACTTGACTCAACATGAGCTGCTGTCAAAAAAGTATGAGGATGATCCACAATTAAGAGGTTCTTTGCGCACTATCTCACGCAGCTTGAACAGAGTAAGTGGAGATATAAGGAGGTCTCTTCTCAAAGAAAATGATGTTGATATGAGCACTAGTCAGAGTACACATTTTTACACACAAAGAGAATTAAACGAAGCTCTAAGAGATGTGCTGAATAAAACTCCATCACCTGTCAATTTACATTTAAGAAGCGATTGGTATATCAAACCAATTCATTTAACATCTTCAGTAAAAATTCCAGTGAGTGAAGAAGACATGCTAGCTACAAAGTTTTTTCCTGTGACACTTGGAGAAAGTAAATCTCTAGAGATGGTTAATACAATAAAGCCTGGGAAAAGAAATGTCTCTAGACAAGTAGCTGAGGCTTCTTTTTCTAGAACACAATCTATACGAGGATTGGTAAATGATACTGATTTCTTAACAGCAGCAGCTCCACACATAAAATCATCAAGCATTACCTTTATATATCCATATGCTGAAGAACTGGCTAGGCTACGAATGGAAAAGTTGCGTATTGAGGAAGAGCAATATATTGAGCTAAAAAGGCAAGCTGAATTAGAGCGGATCCGTGGGCCAAGACCGAATTGGTATGAACTCAAGACACCACAATTTCATCTAGAAGCAAGTAAAAACAATGAGCTTTTACGCAATTCAGATAAATGGGATGATCTTCTACAGTACAGAGAAAATCTAATCAATGCAACTAAGCATAAAGAACTAGCATTAAGTGTTCAAGCATATTAATATTATAACGTCATTTGTAGATTTATAAAAAGATAAATGTTTCTATAGTAAAATTTCCCCACTTATATCTTTTGGATATATTTGAAACTACACACATACACAAATATTTATATATGTTTCTCATAGATCGAACTATCCATTCCTGTCTGAGCCCTATTCATTTTATGTAGCATTTATCATATGAATATTTTTTAAAGTACAAAATTTGATTTGTTGTTTCATTATGGGACTTTGCCAGTAACATATACAAATTGACCAATATATTAAAAAGAATAAACACATGCTCAATTAATCCTATAAGGGTGATGTTTTAAAATAGAATAAATTAATTACCACTGCATTGTAAAAAAAACAAAAAAAAAAAAAAAAAAACAAAAAAAAACAGATCTATATCATTCCAAAAATAATTTTCATAGCGACGAACTCTACAATACCCAACTCATTTATTAAAAAACACACAAGCACATTAGAGAGTTCATTTTCAAAAACACGATTAGAAACATTAGCCACAAAACCTTAATACAAAACAAATTAAATGGAGGTATAGGGCTACACGACATTCATAATAAAATAAACACCTTCCGATTAAAACATCTGGATAGAATAAGGATAGAACCAAATTATCATCCATTAGCACAATAATACATAGGGTTAAACATAAAGAGCATTTTAAAACTAACCATCATAACACCACACTATGGGGGAAATGACATAGGCAGCTTTTATAAAGAAACGCTAGCAATATTCCAAGGAAACAAAAGCATTATTGGGGAAGACACAAAAAAAATACGACATCCTAATCAAACAACAAGCAACACCCTTATACACGAGAATTAGTTTGGCCAGGGAACACAATATAATAGACATTAAAGATACATTTAGAAACCTACATAATAAACGCATTACACCAAAAGAAAGGGAAGTAGCATACAGATTGATTTTAATACAACTCCAGTTTCACGAAATACAAAGTCAAATCAAAATGTTAAAATAACATGTCAAACGCGTAAACAAAATATACAAGAAACTAAAAAACACATTTATTTAAATTGTATATCAGTACAGAAAGCAAAGCAAACACTTGCGAAAATATTAAATACCACCAATCAAACAGCCACAACAAATAAAGCAATCACACTTAATTTAATTAACACGACTAGACAAAGAACAGAAGACGAAAACAGACTAGTAGCAACGGCTATTTATAGATCGACTGTATGGCAAATTAGGAACAAATCCAGATATTTTTTCACAAAATACACGGACATCGAGTTAAAAGAAATATTTCAAGCAAAGCTAAGACATAGACTGGGAACTCTCACTTAACTGGGGAAAAAATGTACAGGAAAGCAATCAATAAAGTATTAATTTTAATTTAGACAGTCTCAAGCCAAACATCACTCGATCAGCCCTCAAGTAAATTAACATTAGAACAGTTCTGTTTCCCAGGTTTTTAAAATGCACAACCTGAATGGTAGAAAGAGATACACACCTCACCCCCCCCCCACTCAACCGGACAGGTGGATATCTCAAGGTAGCGTGCCCTCATCGCCAAGGGTCAATTTTATGTCATGGACATTTTTGGAATGATAGATCAGTATGAGTATTACAAAGACACTTCTCCCACGGTCGATTCTATTTCTGTCCATGGGTGATTACAATGTTAACTTTTGACTCCGCAGCTAAGGACTGAGCACAGTAAACTCAGCAGTGAAGAGAAACCGAGTTTGCACACCTTATTTTAGTCTAGTCTTATGCCATTTTATTTTCTCTCTTTGATTATTATATATGCAATTGATGTTCATATCTTTGATGCTGTGTAGAACTATCAAACAAATTATTATTACTGATTTAAATGTTTAAAACAATTGATTAAAAAAAAAAAGCAATTGTTTGAGGACTGTATAGATATAGATGTTTGAAAGGGAAGAATGTTTGCTTTGATGTGTCTCGTTGTAATAACATAACTTTTCCGATATCATTTTAATTCTCTGTAATCACAAATTTATTTCAGCTCTACTTCAAAACCCAAATTCTACCCCGCCCCCCCCCCCCCCCCCCCGCCCCCTCACCCACCACGCCGAGGTAAAAAAATCCCTTGAATCATCATTTAATTACACATTTGCATTTTCAGGTTGTTTTTTATTTTTTTTTAAATTTTTTTTTTATATTTAGACGTTTTGTATTAGATCTATGTATACGTAAACCATCTTAAATGAATGAAAGTAGGCTACAAGTAAGAAAGAAATATTACTATTGTAAATCTGTATCAGTCCTCACAAGCCGATGATGAAAACTGTAATACTAAAGCGAACACACAACTGACGCTGTAAATTACATGTCTGAGGCCTAAAAAAAAAAAACCATATAGCTTATACATATAAGTGATCTGATGCAAGATAGAGTGCGAAGCGTGCGATAATCGGTTTCTCTGAAATTCAACGCATTAACAGATTTTTTCGTGACCCTTTGTTTGAATAAATTACATAAATCATGGCAGACGAAGACCTAATGGCTTTTGATCCCACTATGAAGAAAAAGAAGAAGAAGAAGCAGAAGACTGGATTTGACTTGGATGCAGCAATGGGAGAAGACAGTGGTTCAGCTGCTGATGTACAACCCACACCTGCCCCAGCTCCAGTAGAGGAGGAGGAGGTAGAGATGCCAGCAACACAGTCAGCACCAGAGAAAGTACCTTATGATTTCTCTATGGATTTTACAAGAATGAAGAAAAAAAGAAGAAGAAGAAGGCTTTTGAGTTAGACGAAGTGGGAGATGCTTTACCCGAAACCACAGAATCTGAGACTATACAATCAACAGTAGGTGAAGCAGAGTTTAATGTTGAAGACTTGGAATTTACAAAAAAGAAGAAGAAAAAGAAGAAGCCAGTTAATATTGATGGAGGGGCAGAGGATGGCCAAGATGATGAAGAATAGATTGGTGACGATTCTGGATCACACACTGCTTGGGTTGGTTCTGACAGAGACTACACATATGATGAGCTTCTAACAAGATTTTTGACAAAATGAGAGAGAAGAACCCAGACATGATAGCTGGAGAAAAGAAAAAGTTTGTTATGAGACCCCCTCAAGTGCTTAGAGTTGGTACCCGAAAAAACTTCTTTTGCAAATTTTGCAGATATTTGTAGATTGTTACACAGACAGCCTAAACACGTCCTCGCTTTCTTGTTAGCTGAGTTGGGTACAAGTGGCTCTGTTGACGGTAATAACCAACTTATAATTAGAGGCAAATACACCCAGAAGCAAATAGTAAATGTTCTCAGAAGATATATCAAGGAGTACGTTACTTGTCATACCTGCAGATCTCGAGACACTTTACTGCAGAAAGACACACGTCTCTTCTTCCTTCAGTGCGAGACATGTTCTGTTGCTAGTATCAAAACAGGTTTCCAGGCAGTTACAGGCAAAGACAGGCAAAGACGGCTTAGAAGATTGGTTCTATATAGTGTTTTATATGTAAATTTGACTGCGTGTTTGAATGGTTTAGGCTGTTTTTTATTTTATTTCACTAGTTACTTTCTCTCAGTGTCTGCTGCAAGCCGTGAGAGTCTACAAGCCACATATACCCGAGTGCTTGTTTCTCTTCATCGCCTGGTGGGCAATTTTTTTTTACCATAGGAGTGTTTCTTTTTGTTTAGTTTGGTACATGATCTGTGAACCATGGGTGAGTTTAAAGGTAAACACAAGAGATGTGCACTCAGCTTGTGAGAGTTTTATTATCAAATCAAACTGTGAAAGTAACTTGTTCCTGTGATAGTGTACCATAGCTAAGCTCATGCTCTAATGTATGTAAGAACTAGATGTAAATTGGTTGATGCAGTACTATTTAAAGAATATTGGAAATGGCAACTTTCATTGTAAATTTAGTTATTTTGAAACCTTTTAGGGTTAAGCAAAAATTCTTACATGTTTTATGCAGAGATGGGTATTGCATTTAGACTAGTATATGTTGTGACCCACTGATAAAAGTTTGGATCAGTCATAAAAACAGTATGAATGAAGTCTTGTTTGTATGTAAAGTTATTTGTAAAATAGGATGATGGAACTGGAATGTCATACATTTTTCTAATTTTATTTTTCTAATTTTTTCAACAATGTTAGTAAGGGAGGCTAGAAATGTGTTAGTTTGTGCTGGATGACTTCTTGAAATGATGGGTGTATTTATTTCTGTATTTTATTACTCTATTCACTGGCTGCAAGACATGTTTAGTATATAAAACTAAGTTTGGTGCTGTTCACCTTGACTTGGTTGGATATAGATACTGATAGATCCTTGTGTCCAAGTTACACTTTGTCAAGTTGAAGACTTGGTTGGATATAGTTATTGATAGATTCTTGTATCCAAGTTACACTTTGTCCTCAAATTGAAGACAGGGATGTCCACTAGTGTGTTGCCATGTGAAGGGAGGGCAATCAGAGAACTCATTTCCCAAGTAGTATTTTAAGATTTTCAACAACAGATTTTTAAGGTTTGGGTGAAAATCTTTTGATTAAAAAATCATTTTCATGTCTGTGTGAATGATGCAGTGTACTTTTCTTTTTGGTTGGAGGGAAATGATTTGTCCTATGATGAATATTAAATACTATCAAATTAAAAAAAATATATAGCTTATACCAGGGGTCGGCAACCCTTTCAGATGGAAGAGCCAAAAGTTACCATTTACAAAAATTCCCAGCTTTCACCATCATCAAAATCATCATCATCATCATCATCATCATCATCATCATCATCATCATCATCATCATCATCTTCATCATAAACAACAACATCATCATCCTCAACATTATCATCCTCAACATCATCATCCTCAACATCATCATCATCATCATCACTCCCGATTATCCAGGTACCTGATTGCTAAATAGTTTACGATTTACACTTCTACTGCGAAATACGTACGACCTTATTGGTCATACAACAAAAAGCTGGAGCACGAGAAAAAAAATGTCGTTAAATTATAACTGTGTTGATTTGACGATGCAGGTGACTACTACAACAATCAATGTGGTTCTGCCAGCTGTCAGCCGTGTAGGAGTAGGTTCCCACAATGTCAGGGTCTAACTAACGGCATCCATGTAATTGAAAAACTTGTATCTTCTTGTCAGTATAGACTATGTAAATAATGTAAACAATTTATGTTAGTTTAGTATCAAAGAGGAAGTGCTTGAAAATACAAATAACTTTCCTTCTTTCAAATGTTTATACAATTTATATTTTATGTTTAAGGAAATTGTCAAATAGAGTTATATGCAAAAAATCCAAAATAATAATAAAATATTTGTCGACAAAAAATGTCATCTG